CTGCTGAAGCAGAACAAGGGGACTGTTTGTGCCGGAAAAGCCAAATTCAACTTTTCCTCCTCTTTACTCACAACTCTCCTCCCACAGACCTCAGCTCCTGGCAACTCGGGCCTGTGGCCCCAAACAGCAGGACATTCTCAATATGCTGAGTTTTGTAAAGGGGGAAACTGGACTCTGTTGGAGTTTCAGCAGCCAAAGGTATCATTCCTCTGGAAGATTCTCCTTCCAGCTCTGAGCCTGAGCATGGTTACTGGGGCCTGACCCTGTCAGGGACCCCAGCTTCCTCTCCACCCTCTGTCCCCATTCTTTGCCCTGAGAGACTCGACTTTTATTTTTATTTATTTATTTATTTTTGAGAGGTTTTCGCTATAGGGCGCGTGCGCTCACCAGACAGACAGAGACAGAGACAGAAAGTGAGAAATCACCCCCCAGGGGCAATGGTCACGCCGCAATCCCTTCTCCTCCATTCTCCTCTCGGGATCTTGGGCACGCACGCACACGTGCCCAGCGTGAGTTTTAAGCCACCGGGTCCAGGACACGAACCACGGTCGTCTAAGTGGGAGTCCAGCAACATAGCCATTACGCTAACTGCTGGTTCCCGAGACTCAACATTTTCATTGGTAAAATCGGGGCAACCTAGATCGCATGGAGTTGTCCTGAGGATTAAATGACAAGATGGGTGAAAGTTCCTGACAGGGTGCCTGGCACACAGTAGGGCCTCAATGTAGGGCTTTCTTCTGTCCCCCAGCACCTTGAAAATCACAATGGAAAAAAACATAGACTAGGACCAGCCTGTGGCCCGGTGGTTAAGGAATCTGGATCCCACGTGGCCAACCTCATGGTCTGAGTCCTGGATCCAATGGCTTGAAAAAGATGGCAGGTGTGTGGGCATGTGAGCCCGAAATCCTAAAAAGAGAGACAAGTGGAGAGTAAAGGATTGTGACGTGACCATTCCCTAGAGGGGGCGCTTTCTCACTTTCCCTCACTTTGCCTCCGTTTTTCTCCAGCAAGCATATATGCCTTCTTGCAAATTAAAAAACAAAAATGTTGGATATAGAAGAGGAGAGGAAACGAAGGAACAGTTAGACGTGGCTTTACCTGTGGTTTGCTATGTGGCCTAGACCAAGTTATTTCCCCTCGCTGGACCTTCTGATTGTCATTGTGTAATCTCTAGAGAGCTGACCACTTTGGCATATCCGCAATAAAAAGTCAGAGAAATAAAGGGCTTTGCTGTATTTTTCCAGTTCCCAGTGAGAAGTCCAGAAGGCGGTGTGACGTGGAGAGGGAGTAACAGCCCGGCTGTCATACTCAGGCTCACAGGCTGGCTCTGTCACACACCGGCTATGACGGTAGGCAAGTTGCTCACCCTGACCGAGTGAGAGTGACAGCCTCTCCTGCCCAGGACCAGGGGATTCGTAGCATGCAGGCTGAAACCAGAAAAGCCCCACGTAAACCAGGATGAGTCAGCCAATTCTAACCGAGCCTCAGTTTCCTCTTCTATAAACTTTTGAAAAGTGTGTTGCAGGGCTGGCAGGTACCATGGTGGATAAGAATGCTGGATTCTCACATGGCCGACCATGGTTTGAGCCCCAGACCTGGCGGTTTGCTTTCTCACTTTCTCTCTCTCC